ACTTCAGCCTGGACTCCTCCCTGTCACAGTGAGTGCTTCACAGGGGCCACCAGTGGGGCGCGAGGATTGTTACGTTTCATTCATTAATGTCACCGATGCGGTACTGCTGACCGTTGGGATGTGGCCTCCCTGCGGCCATGCCTCGAGCCTGCCACTACCCCGGGGGTGTGGTGGGAGCCCCGGGCTGGGCTTCCACACCCACTCTGGGCCTCGGTCTCCCCAGCCTGGAGCTGGTAGGCAGAGGAGAGATGAAAGGCTGCTGCCCACGCCCACCGCCCGCAGGGCCTCTCTAGTCATCTGAAGTCCTCCACGGAGCAGCTCAGAGAGCCCCGGGCCACACCCTTCTCCGGGCCCCTGGGCCGGTCACATGCTCGGCCCAGCTCAGAATAGCCACCTCCGGCTGGTGACTGGCCTGGCCCTGCCCGGCGCTGTGGGCCTGCGTGGAGCCACGGATGAGGGGAGGCAGCTCTGGGACACCTACCCCATGTGAGTGTGGCTTCTGTGGGCCGGCGAGTAGGTCTGCACTGCGTGCCTGCCTGTGGCTATGTGCCCACTGGCCCGCACCCTGAGGACTAGGCGCCTGCAGGCCTGGCACCGTGACTGGCGATTCTTGGCATGGCCGTCTGTGCCGAGACCACTGCCAGGAAAGCCTGGGAGGCCGCTTTCCCAGACTGATGGGGGCTGCAGCTACCTGGCCTGGTCAGCTCACTGCCGGGCGGCTAGCTTTGTCGGCCCGAGGGTGTCTCTTGGCCCATCTAGGTGCGGACAAGGCTTGGGCGCAGGCTGGCAGCGGGCCGCGCTCTGGGCCCAGCTTGAAAATAGGCTGTCGGATCGGGCCAAGCCGCTGTCTGGTGCTGGCTGGCCTCTGGTGCCCAGTTCTCATGACAGTGGGACCTTGCTCCCTGCCTGCCTCACGGGGTGAGTGTCAGGAGGGAGGATGTGGGAGCGCCGTGCAAACTGTGAGGTCCTGGCCTTGCTATAACAAGTGCCACCGTTGTTACCAGGCAGAACGTGCCCGAGTGCCAGCCCCCTCCATGCCTAGTCCCTGCCTGTCGGCCGGGGGCAGTGGTGGCTCAGGGGTAGAATTCTCACCTTCCAGGCAGGAGCCCCGGGTTCGATTCCCATCCAGTGCACCTAATGTGCAGCCACCACCCGCCTGTCAGCAGTCTTGTGTGTTACTATGATGCTGAACAGGTTTCAGCAGAGCATCCAGACTAAGACTAGGAAGAAAGGCCTGGCAATCAACTTCTGAAAATCAGTCAGTGAAAACCCTGTGGATCACCGCGATCCAATCTGTAACGATCATGGGGATGGCGCAGGACTGGACAGTGTCTCGTTCTGTTGTGCATGGGTCACCATGAGTCGGGGTGACTGCAGCAGCCAGAACGCTGTCAGATGCCTGAGTGAGTGGATGTCAGTGGATACAGGAGCAGGCCCCCACTCTGCAGTGTGGCCTCTGCCGTGTGTCCCCCTCCGGCAGGGCAGCCTCGCTTTAGGTGCAAGAGCCCATGGCTGCAGCCAGCTCCAGGGCCGCTCCCTGCGTGCACGGTCTCCCCACCCAGCCCTCCCCAGCTCTGGCTCCTGAGAATGGCTCACTGTGGTCCTGGTCAGCCGGGACCGACCATCAGGAACTTCTGCCTGCTGCCCGTGTGGGCGTCAGTGCGCGGTCTTCTCAGCACACGGCGGAGCACGCACATGGATGACCATCAGGCCTCACTCTGAGGGCCGATGCTAGCGTCTGCACGGCTCCGAGCTCTGGCATGGGGCGCAGACCTAACCCTCCTGCTTCTCTGGGGGTCCGTTCCTGTTCTGTCCCTGTCCCTCGGATGAGGACACGGAGATGCGGTGGGCGGGGCCCACTGTCGGGCTTCCAGGTGGCATTGGACCTCAGCCCAGTCCCTGATTGCCAGGCCCGGACCGTCCTGTGACCCGGGAGCCTCCCCTCGCCCTAAGCAAAGGCTTGTTGAGCTAAGTGCGCCCTTCAGCCTGCCCCAACCCACGTTTGCTGAGCCCGGGCTGCCCTCCCGGCGGGGGCTGCAGGGGGCCTGGGGCGGCTCCCAGAGGCTCTGCCCCCTGGTCCGCAGCGGGCGGGGTCTGCCGGGAGCAACGTCAGCAGGCAAGCCCCGGCCTGAGCCCCCCAGGCACCCGCTCCAGTGCCCTTTTGGACTGAATTTCGCCCTCCATCCACCCCATTAAACATGCTTCTGGCTAAAACAGATACTTTTTAATCTACTTTTTGTGGTGGTGCCCGCCTGGGCAGCCACAGCTCATTAAAAATTAAAGGTGCTGTCAGTGCCATTGATTACTCCGCAAGGCTGGCCTCCAGCCCCCCGGGCGGGTCAGCAGCAGAGGCCTCTCCCGTCACGGTGATTTCCCTGTTTGGTGTGGAGAGCGCCCTTTCTGGTGGGGTCACTGCCCCCAGCCACAGGGCTGCCAGCGGGCCGCCGGAGAGGTGACTCTGGGTTTGTTTGTGGACTCCGGGCGGAGGCCGGGACCCTTGCACTGAGGGCGCCAAGGGAGTCACCGTGTGTCTGCCGCGGTCGGTGGGGCTGGGCCTGGTGGCCCCTCAGTCGCCCAGCCCACCACAGAGCACGACACATTTAAGTGTCTGCAGTGGGGGTGCCTACCCCCAGGGTGTACAGGGCTGAGGAGCTGCTGCAGAGAGCTCACAGCAGGTGAAGCTCACCCCAGCCCACGGCGGTGGATGCAGGGAGCACAGGGCCCATCGCGCCTGGCGTTTGCAGGGCTGCACATCCGAGCTCAGCTCGGCGCTGAGCTGGGCAGAGCGCGGGGGAAGAACAGGAGCTGGTCCTGGGGGGCCGCGATCCATTGCAGGGATGAGGATAAGGCCCGGAGCGAGGGCAGAGGAGCCTGTGCTGGGGTACACTCTGACCACAGGCTCAGGGATGCACCCCACTGGGCTAGGCCGCTACAGAGGCCTGGCTCTGGGCTGACACCTGCTCAGGGCCCTCGGGGCAGGGCCAGAGGGAGCCAGCCCCAGGGGTTCAGCGCCTGGCACAGTAACTGCCCTTCTCCAGGACCTAGCCTAAGCTGCATCTTTAGCATGAGAAGGCCCATCCCCGTCTCTTCTGGGCCTTGAGCCCTGTGACCCCAGGGGCGCGACAGGGCAGGCGCTGGGGCTCAGCCTGAGGCTCCTCCCCCTGGCCCTGAGGCCGGGTCGTGCCCGAACCAAGGTGTCACAGCTAATGAATCGTCCCAGCATCACTTTGCACTGAATGCTCTTTGGAGTCAGGAGTATTGCCCACACTTTTTGGAGAGGATGCTGAGGCAGTGGGGTCCCGGCCAGGCAGCGCCCTCACCTTTCACAGGGAGAGCAGTGTCAGCCTTTGCAGATGGGGTGCTGATGCCTTCCAGGGCAGGACAGTCACTGCCCAGAGCCCTCTCCAATGAGGGAGAGGAAGGCATGAGCTCAGCTCTACCTGGGGCACCCATCTTGCCATGTTCCCATCCCCCTAGTGCTGCCTCCTCCAGGCAGCCCTCCAGCATCCTTCAGGTAGGATGACTGCCTCAGGAGCTTTGTGTTTCCCCCTCATGGGGTGTGACCCACTACACCATGCTACCCAACCCCCTGGTGGCCTGTCCAGGCCCTTCACTGTCCCTGGTGGGGGGCGAGGCCCAGGGCACCCACCTCGAGAGCCAGCTTCTCTGGCCAAGGCTCCTGCCGCATGTGCCCCGAGTTCCCTGGCTTGCTAGCGCCCTGTCTGGTTGGGGGAGGTCCCTTGGGGACGGCCTGGGGGGTCCCTAAGACCTCTTGATTAGGGGCAGACGCAGCCTGGGCGTGGGGGGAGGTGGGAGTCGTGGGCATCACGCGCAAACCAGATGCGGCAGGCAGCCTGGGAGGCCGCGGGAGGCCTTCCCCCACCCCGGGGCCCGGCTGGCCTAGCGGGTGTGTGCTGCCCCTGCTTCCGCGCTTGGCTCCTGAGACATCCCTTCTGTCCTGGGCGGTGTCAGCGTGGCACCTGCAGCCTGCACCTGCTCGACACTCCTGGCACCACGTCCGAGGGGGGGTGCTGGGGGCAGTGGCCTGCCCGCCCCAGGCCTCAAAACCAGATGGCCCTTCCCAGGGTTGTTGGGACGACGGTCAGCAGTGGGGGCTGTCACACGCTCTGCCACTCCGCCTGCCCTATCTGGAGCTTCCAGCAATTCCTGCTCAGTCCAGGGTGGTCTGATCTCAGGAGCCACTGGGCCCCCACGAGGAGAAGGGGCCAGGCCAAGCTCGCGTGGACAGAGGCATGCGGGGCTCTGGGTGTCTGGGACAGACCTCGGGCTGCAGAGGAGCCGAGGGAGGGAGTGGCTGGCAGCGGGGCCTTGGCTGGAAGGGGGGCGAAGAGTGACCGCTACCTGCTAGCCTCCGCCTGACACCCCTCAGCCAGTGAAGTGGTGGCCTCAGGGCACAGAGACCAGGGGCCACCAGAGAGAGTGGCTGACTTTTTGTGCAGGTAGCAAGGTGGGTTTGAGCCCCGCGATGGCCGAAGCTCCACGCAGAGGGCCACACGGGCACGTGCATCTGGGCAGCTGCCGGTCCTGCTGCCTTCCAGACCCGGCTATGGGGCTGGGGGCCAGGGCCCAGCGGGGGTGCGTGCAGCAGGCTGGCAGCCCCGTCTCCGTCTGAGTGGCCTGGAGGCTCTAGGCTGAGATCCACAGCTTGTCCACTGAGACTCGATGGCCAGCCCACAACACAGGGTTGGGGGAGGCCCCCAGGCCAGGCCCCCTTGTCACCCCCCAGCCCTGACCAGCCAGTTGGCTCTGTCTGCTGGCACGTGTGGGTGCTGGGCCCCCGCGCCTGTGTCTGGAGCCGCCTCTGGAGATGGTTGCATAGTCGGTTTCTCTGTCTTCCCAGGCTCTGAGGTTTGGGAGGGAGCCGTCCCGCTCTCACCCCTCACTGTCCCCAGAGCCCCCCAAGCCCCTCACTGTCCCCAGAGCCCCCCAAGCCCCTCACTGTCCCCAGAACCCCCCATGTCCCCTCTCCTACTTCCCAGGGTCCAGGTGGAGTTCTATGTCAACGAGAACACCTTCAAGGAGCGGCTCAAGCTGTTCTTCATCAAAAACCAAAGATCCAGTGAGTCGGGGGGCAAAGGTGGGGTAGTGGGGGCGGCAGGGGGAAGAGCATGCCGCCGATGACATCTGGGCATGCAGACAGAGGCAGGGCAGGGCGGAGGATGGGGGTCCTGGGCAGAGCGGGGTGGGGGGTCTGTCAGGGTGGTGGGGTGCAGGGGTGGAAGAAGTGTCACCCCTCATGGCTTCACCCCCTTGAACCCAGTGGGATATGAGACAGGAACCTGTGGTGCTGTTGCCCCACCACTGCTGGACACCTGGGCTTGGATACCCTCCCTGCCCTGTCCTCCACCCTCAGGCCCCCAGCAAACACTTTTCCAGCTTTGAGCCTTGGCCACTTTGGACGGCCCCTAGGATGTAGGACGAGGGCGTGGAGGTTGTGTTTGTGGGCTTGGAGCCCACCAGCAGGTGCAAGCCCCCAAGTCCTGCCCCCAAGGAGCAAGCAAGCAGGGGACACCCACTGCACCCCTGAACCTCAGAGCATCATCTGTGGATGGGGACAGGGACAGCACCTCCTCAGAGGTGGCACAGCACCCTGCCACCAGGCCCCGCAGCCCCCACACCTGCCCCTCTCCCCATGCATCCGGGCCCTCAGGAGCTCAGGGACTGTTGGGAAGAGGCCACAGTTCCCTCCCTTGGTAGCCCTGCTCCCCCAGTCTACTCCCTCAGCGGCCCTGATCCCCCAGCCCCAGCTGACTCCCCTCTCCACAGGCCTGCGGATCCGGCTGTTCAACTTCTCCCTGAAGCTGCTCACCTGTCTGCTCTACATCGTCCGCGTCCTGCTGGACGACCCCAACCAGGGCATCGGATGGTGGGTGACAGTGGGGCCTGGGAACTGTGGGGCCCCTTGTCTGTGAGGGGCTGATGGGGTCACGTGGGCATATGTGACCAGCACCCAGCTGCACCACAGAGCACCCCCAGGGTCCAGGGCCATGGGGTGCTTCCTCCCCGGACACGATTCCAGCGCACCTGTCCATCCCCGGGTTTCTCAGCTCAGCAACGGTGCCCTCACATTCCAGCTCACCTCCCTTGTCCATGGACCTGTGGCTACATCTGCAGCTGCTTGCAGTCCTGGAAATGGCCCTCCTTAGGGAGGGGGGTGGCTGCCATGGGATGAGGAGGGGGCTCCACCCCTGCCCCCCCAGGAAAGCCTTCACTGCAGGCACTGAGCCCGCCCAAGGCTGCACCTTGCCCTGCTGCCCCTCCTGGGCCCCGTGGCATCCTTTCCTTGTTTTACACCTTCTTCTCTTCTATGGAGCACACCGTATGGGGACTTGGAGAAACAGGTGTGTAGGGTCTGTTGTCTGTGACCTTGTGGGTCTGAAATGTCCCCGTTGGACCCCACAGCCACTGAAAACCATTCTCCCTCAGGTTCTGAAGTGTTGCCCCGCTGTCTTGCTGCAGCTGAGAACATGTGACATTTCTCCTTGATCCTTGTGTGAAGCACATTCTTCTCCCCAAGAGCTGGTGGAATCCTCTCTGTGCCCAGTGATGGCAGCTTTGGCATGTTTCCCTTTTCACCTCCAGGTTGGCCCCAGTGGACACCAACCTGGGAACCAGCATCCAGAATTTTCTGGAATCATATCTTTCGAGAACATCCCCCTTCATTTTCTTGGCACTCTTTCTGGAATTCCTGTTATTCGGATGTTGGAGTCTGTAATGATCCTTTACTTTTTTTATCTTCTCGCTCCTGTTTTCCCTCTTTTGTTCTTTTTGAGAGATTTCCTTAGCTTTCTTTTCCAGCTTTTATCTGAATTTTTCACTTCTGCCATCGTGTTTTCTAGTCTTTTTTTTTTTTTTTCTGTCTCTGCCTTCTGTGATTTTTTGTTCTTCTTACTCTCCTGTGCTGAATTACTTTTGTCTGTGGATTTTTTTTCATTTCTTTTGTTTTTGTAGGTTTTGTTTTTGCTGAGACTTTATGTTTTTCCTCTTTATTTTTATGAGTATGTTTATTACCTTTCTTTATGTTACTGTGAAATTTCCCCTTATCTTTCTAAGTTTGAAGCAGTCTATTATTACTTGGTATTGCCTTGCCTTCCTCTCCATTAGAAGGTTCTACACCTGCACCATTTATTCCCTCTTTTATTGTTCTGATGTTGTTGTCATTTACAGATTAACTGCTCTGATTCCCTGTTGTATTTCTTTTGGTTTTGGATAGTCCTTGAGAGTTCATTTCCTAGATTGGTATCTGGCTTGTACGATCCTGCGTCCTAGATTCAGCCTGTGAGCTGAAGTTGTTCGTTCTCAGATCGAAGAACTCCCTTTAATAATTTTTGTAA